CTGGGACTTCATTCAACCCCTGGTATACTGCACACGCACATAAACACGTGCGCATACACACTTCATGTGCGCTGCACACACACACACACACACACCCTGTCATCTCATTAAGAAAAAATCCTGGATACGCCCCTGTAATTGTAACTAATTCAAACAAATAGTCCTGCTAAGTTGGTTTAGTTAGTTGGTTTAAATGCCCCATAAATCCATAGTAAGTGATTTATTAGGCATTCTTTGTCACTTATAAACCCTTTGCAAAGGTTGTCTAAATATGAACTCCCGTTTAGCGGGTCCTTTAAAACCCACTACTCTGTAATCTATATGCAGTACGTGTACGCTGTTGTCTCTCTTACATTCACATGAACCCCCCCTCAGGTGCAGCCACAGTAAAACTGAGCTGGGCCCCACTACCCTCCCACTCCCTTTCCCCCTCCCTCCCGCTTTTCAACGGCCAAACTGCCGAGGCTGGATGCAGATAGAGAGGGGATTAGCTCAGGGTGGGGGATAGAGGGAGAACTTTTTTCCCTCTTTTGTGTTTTTTTAAGTGTCGTTTATTTCAGTGTGAAGAAAAGGAGAGGGGAGGTGTGTGTGTGTGTTTGTGTGTGTGAAAGAGAGGGAGGACTGGTAAGATTTTCCAGAGAGGTGGACTGAGACGGAAACTGAACATTTTAGTTTGAAAGTTGGGTCGGAGTGACCGAGGCTCTACCGAGAATGGAAGCGAGCTGAAGGTCCGCACATCTGCAGTCGGAGCCTTTCTTTTTCTTTCTTTTTCTTTCTTTCTTTCTTTCTTTCTTTCTTTTTTTAAAAGAGATTTGCATAAGGAAAGGCAGGGACGGGGAGCAAGACCATGCAGCCGCTGCTGTCGGGTTAGTGGAGCTTGTGAGTTAGGGGAAGAAAAAAGGAAGAGCCTGAGGAGAGAAAACCGGTTTTCCCTTGAATCCTACCGCCGCTGCTTTTGTGTTTTTGAATGGTTGGCTGCCTTTCCTGCCTGACAGGGCCGAGTGTCACAGAAAAGTTTGAGGCTTCAGCAGCTCACGGGCGCGTCGGTAAGTTTGTAACTTTAACTTTAGGCTAACTTAAAACATATTTGTGTGTGTGTGTGTCGTCCACAATGCCAGCCTACTCTGGATGTCATCTGCGGTGTTAAGTGTGTCAGTGGATATCTGAATTCAGTTAACAGCCGTATGGAGACAATAGCCGCATATATTCCACTGATAGAGCTGTTGATGGCTGATTATAGTTGAATCCAGATCCTGACTGATCGATGCCAAGCTCTACAGCTGCTCCTCTTTTAAAGTTTTTTAAACTTGAGGCACGTAATGCAACTTATCCCGGAGCCTTTGGGCGCAAAGACGTAATGATCCGGGATAATGCAGGCTTTTTGTGTGCGCACTGAACCGTACACTTACACCAAAGTCCCACAGTAATGTGCTTTAATCAGTGGAGGCTAACAACTCAATGTTAGTTATGCTGAAGTTGTGTGTGTGTGTGGGGAGAAATAAAAGTCAAGATCTTAGTTGAAGTTATCAACCGCTGCTGATTTGTGCTTTTAATCCGGGTTTTATGTGAGAGCCACAGGTGGTTTGTAACAACACCCTACCTTCTTTTGTATCCACCCAGCGTGCATTCAAGGATAACTATATAGTTACATCTTTTTATGTCTGTGGATGGCGTGCAAAGAGCCCTGCCCTGTGGTTCTGCTGTGTGATCCAGGGTAGGAGTGCCTCTTGGTTTTTCTGGGCAGTATGATGACAACCTTCAGGTCCCGTCTTTACTGGGGGACCACAGTCTGCAGTTACAGCCCCTCCGTGCACCCCCCACCCCCACCCCCACCCCACCGCCATCTACACGACCTTCTCCCTCAGCCTGCACCAGATGGTTTTAAAAACTCCTTTGAACAGGCTGAGAGGAAGCCCTTCCCTGCTTTGGGGAAGGAGGAGAAGGAAGCGCGAAGAGCAGGGGCTGATGAAAGTCAGTCTGCAGATGTCAGCGTGGATGCATGGGTCTCGGTTTTTGTCTTTTTGATGTTAGTAAAATATGCTTGCTCATCTAAAATCACTGAAACACAAGGTGACATTTCAGAAAAATGTCAAACACTCTTTGGAGTGAGTGTATGCATATTTAAATCTTTAATTTGACATCTCGGTAGGACGTAGATTACAGTCTGTGTTGTTACATTTTTTCTCTCAAAGTGACCACAGGCTGGTTTTTATTCTTCTGACTAAAGCATTGACTTGCTGCCCGTCTTTATTTATCTGCAGTTTCAAACCTATATGAGATATGTTTTTGCTAAAGATGGAATATCTAAGTTAAATGTCCAAATGCAATGTCTTACAGCACATTGCCAAGTAACATTTAAGCAACAAGAAACACAAATACACTTGTACATCCAAAATGCTGTTGGATGATGATTATTTAGAAAAGTTCACCTCTGAAATTTTCAAGACATATGTGTTAGTGTGTCAGGCCACATGCTTGACCCCAGTACTCTGTACCCGTGACTCCCTCAGCTGCTAGGAAACTACAGCAAAGGTGTATTTCTGAAAACTTCAGTACTAAAGTAAGGCAAAAATGTGCATTTTAAATAGATGTGGGCTAAATGGACCTTTACACACACACAAATATTTATGGCCAAAATACTGATTTAAATCATTTGACAACATGTACATTTTCCCATGCAACTGTGTTACATAACGACAACGTAAAACATCAAATGCAATGGAATCGGGTCAAATAAAATGTACCTGATTGGTATACATTTAGTTTATGTCAGTCATGTTTTCCTAAATGATTAATTATATGAGAAAATAAACCCTCGATTTTATATATTTCAGTTAGATTTTATTCAAAATTATTGCTTTACATTTACGAGGGCAAAGAATGAGCACTTGAAGCTACAAGCCTCATTCACACATTCACCAAGCTTTTTATTCTATGGCTAGGCGCCTTATCTAACATTCACACACACACACTTACACTCCGATGAATGAGGGGCAACCCAGGGCTCGGTATATATTGTGTCTTTGTTACAGTGCAGAAAAAAAATTTGCATTTCATCGCGTTTTCATCAATTTTCTTTCACTCTAACCGTTGTCCTTTGTACTGATAGGAAGCTAAACTGAGTGTTACATGTAGCTTTTAAAGAAGTAAAGACCATAATTTTGAAGGGGGTTCTTCCTGTTAAAAAGGAGATTTTCTTTCCCACAGTCTTCAAGTGCTTGCTCATAGGTGCTCATTGGATGGTTGGGGTTTTCCCTGTATTATCGTAGGGTCTCTATCTTTTAATATAAAGTGCCTTGAGGCAGCCATTATTGTAACTCGGAGCTGTATAGTTTGAATTGAATTGAACTGAATTCTCTAACATCCAAAAACTATTTAAAGTACTCTGTGCTATAGCTGTGACATGAGGGTGGTGCTGAGTTGGGGGGAAAATGAAGGACGTGTGATATTTTCGGCTTGTGACGGCGCTGTAGGGGGTACAATTATTGCAGGCTGGAATTATACAGAGAGGGTTAAAGGCCTGCTCTAAATGACAGAGCTGCATTGGAAGTGCTGCAGACGTACTGTATATAGACACAGCACTGGAGGTCCGAACCACTGCTGTGTTACGCTCTGACGTCCCTTCCTCTGTACTGGGCTTTCTTTACATTTCAGTGAGTGGCCTTTTTTCAAAGTTTCACGATTGGAGGTTATATTTAGACTCTGGCCTGGATGTCATTGTTCATCAGCCGCTTATATTATCTCATACACTGCCACGCTGGCGCTAACATATGGACATCAGACTCCACCACACAGCCTGCTAAACGCTGCTCCCCCACCACAGACGTTAATAGAGCGTTTGTGAACCCGCCCCTCCTTACAGCACATACGGTGCACTCACAGTGGTAACTTACCACAGCACAGTTGATGAATGTACATTACACGTTAGTATATTTTCACTGCGTTAATGACCTTTTTCTCTGAGGTACAGTATACACTCATGCACCACTGACATGTGACTCTTCAAAAGGCTGCTCATTGTATTGCAGATTTTTTCATGCCTCTTTATGAATAGCTCTCTAAGGATCTCTTTTATTGAGGTGAGAATCAGGCAAGCATGAAATGGAGAGATTAAAGAGCAGGAAAAAGGTTAGATTGCTGCTCATATAAAAAAAAGGGAGCCATAAGTGGATGTAATTGGGACCCAGGACTACAGGGGAAATGATTTTGCAGTGAAAATATAAACTTGACTGAATTAGAAATTCAACTAGTGGCTCTCTTATTGTCTTGCAGAGTACACGAAAATACTGCCAATGTGCATTTCCATACCTCAGGGTGATGACCTAATTCAGGGACCTCCCACTGTGGAAAATGAGGTTGGTTTTTTGACCTGGGTCAGTTTTGGGAGGCAAATAGAAGAAATTGTTTAACTTGAACTCAGCATTTAAGAGACTGTGGTCACAAGGCAGTTTATTATCCCCTCTGAACTGTTTGGTTAAAGGCATCGATTGCACTGAGTTTTGTGACATTTCTTTATAGACAGATGTACGGATCCCTGCGTGTGTAGGTATCTCTTTAGTATAGATCAGGACCACGAGGCAGAGAACACATGAAGAACTTTAAAGTGAGGGGGGGAGTTGCAGGTCAGATTTGTGCAGTGAAAAATTAGGTTTATGTTGATGTCGTAGTTCACATGCGGCCCTAAAACGGCTCTTGAAAGTTTGGATTGATATGTGGAAAGTTGTTAAAAACAAGTTGTTGTTAATTCATGCACAATGGAGTGAAAAAACACCGAGAGACCTGAGTTACCTACGCCTCAACAGCTTTGAAAAATGCTGCTTTTTAAAGGTTTTGAACCAAATAGCTTGCCCCTAGTTTTATAGCTCAGTTTATAAATCTCTGTGTGTGTTGTGTGTTTAGTTTTTTGGCACTTAGTAATCAGAATGAATAAATAAAAGGACCACAGCCAAGAGTTTGTGACAGCTACTAATCTGTTTTCATACACGGATGCATATGAAGAAGAAATGCAAAGCCCGCAGGGACTCAAAGTCTGGTCAAAGTGAAAACTGACTGTCATGTGGTGCTTTGTTCGTTATGTAAGTTCTTAGCATACAAACATGGCAGTAGCTGCTATGCAAAAAACCCTTCTGAAAGTAGCCACAATCACGTAAGCTGGGGCATTATGACATAATTGAAAGTGTTATGTGTAGCTTAGCCCATGAGCCAGACAGATTACAAGCTTATTAACGCTGCATCATAAGGTTGCCTATCCTGCAACTTCCTAATGGTCAAATTTCTCAGGTGAAATGGTTTCTAAAGACACTGCTAGTTTTTTGACTTCCAGGTAGTTGTTTTTCCTCAGCTTTGTGTGCTGATAATCCTGCTCTTTGATAGCCTTTTTGGTCCATGTCACAAACACAGGGGGTCAGTTCCTGCTGAAACCTGATGTTCCACTTCCTCATGTGGTCCTCAGTTTCCTGCTACGGCGAGGCAGGAAGCTCAGCAGTGGGTCATTTGAAGTCTTGCTCTGTCTGCTTTAGAGTTAAAGCAGATGTTATTTTGATAAGTTTTGTGCTTAGCACAATATGTATTATCATATTTAAAGACCCCAGCTGTGACATTAGTTCGTTTTATTCACATTTTTATTTTCTTGACTCAGTCTTCCAGCTGGTTGGGGTCTTCACCTTGAGGAGACATAATTTATACCAACAACTGTTGAGACCCCAGTGCATCTCGCATTCTTGGTAGGGTCTTCCAAGTGAAGCTGTCAGACGGCCAGGCCATAGCTCTGCAGGTTTTTCAGTTCTCAGCTGGCCCCGGCCGTCAAGTCAGAGAAACGCTCCCAGAATCTTTGGCTGTGCTCGCGCACGCCCACCCCCTTGATTAAACACACCCGCATTAGCTATGTGGGGAACTTTTAGTCAGCCTTGTCTGTTCCAGCAGCTGAGCACTCAGATCTGTGCTGTTCAGGACAGCACCCCGCTGGGTGTGTTCAAGGGGAGGATACCCAAGGACAACCCGTTATTCCAATAGCGCTGCAGCTGATACTGAGTGTGAGCTCAGTGAGCTTTGTAGAAGGGATCTGAATTATTACTTGTTCATTGTGTTTTAACAGTGCAGAGGTAGACAGGACACAAAGAAGGGAGGGAAATGAAGTGCAAAAGAGTTATTAAACTGTACAAGCTGCATTTCACAGTAATTTCAGGGCACTTTATGTTGTAAAGTATAAACCTTCCAATGGTGCAATATCCCAAAGAGAAATGGAACTATTTTCTGTTCTCAGCTGGAAGAAATCTGCAGCAAAAGCAGACTTGGGAGCGGCCGATCCAGCTCAATGGAGACAAAACAGAAGAGACTAGAGAAAATACAATAGAGACTACAACAGAGAGAGAAGACAAAGAGGAAAAAGATAAAATTATGGGAGGGACGACATAATGACATGCAGCAGAGGCGCAGAAATTTATGGAGCCAGAGAGAAGCAAAGCTCAGGGCATTCATGATATGAGATTCTCCAGTAAAAACTGAATTGATTGAGCAATAACTGTAAGTGTGATCAGTACAGAAACTCTCAGGCCCGTTCATAAAAGGAGCTACACTGTCTGCCTCAGTAAGACTTTTAAAAACTGTAGGAACCACAAACCTGCACTCTGAGGTGCTTTAAAGGGTTAAAAGCTATTGTGGACTTTACTGTGTGAACTAATGAAGGGAATCTACAGAAATCTGATTCGTGTTGCTAATTCCTCATTGTACTCACACTGCAACACTTTGGATTAGCTGATGGTTTGTCACAGCGGAGCTTCTGGCAGTTTTTGGGATGTTTTATCTAAGAAGCAACAGATGCATGGGCCTATTTTTGAGTGGCAGTTTGAGACACATGGTAAGCATTTATAAGAATACTTATATGAAGGGCATTTTCCGGCCTTGTTTTCTAATGAGTTACTTTCATTGATGACGCATGGCCTAATTCAAAGTATGTAAACAAGGTGCCAGCAGCAGCTGCAGCAGCAGCATTATATCCAGTGATACAGCGAATATCAAATGTAAGCACAGAAGTAGCTTTGGGTAGTTTCCCCCCCCCCCCAGAAAATCTAAGTAAACTTATAAAATATGTACTTAACACTTACTAAAGTAACTTAACCTTGTAGCGCTGCACACCACGGTCGCATGATTAACTGAAAATTGTTGTCTACCTCTGACGTCAAGCTTTTTAACCTGTTGCTTAAAGCCCTTGTTTTCCACCGTGTAAGCACAGCAATAATTTCCATTCACCGCTTGCTCTTCCTGTCATGCGGGGGGATAGTAAATAGCTCGTCCTCACTCATTCTTATTCTGCTCAGGCTTTGGGCACGAATGCCCTAAAATCCTGATGCGTTTCTCTGTTGTTAGACCCTCCATGACGAAGGGTAGGTGTTATACTTCACCTTAAATGTAGATTTAAGGTTACGGGTGATTTGTTTGTTTTTTTTGCATTATAGGAAGACAAGGTAAAATTTTATTTGACCTCTTTATGTCTTTATATAAATAAAATAAGGAAAATTTAAAAAGAGGCTTTTCTTGTGAAAGGTTTTTAGAAAGGCCCATTTTTGTCCAACTACACCCAAGCTCCCCCTGGCTGGTGGTCCTGTGTATGTGTTGATGCCTATTATTAGCTTATCTAGGTGTCATATTTTGAAAATTTCCCAAATAGCTGCTGTAAAACTAACGAATTTCACTTTAATTTCCACTGAGTCGTCAGAATTGAATTCATTAACCTTTTTGCAGTACTTTGCTACATGGGGGAAAACCAGTGATGCTACCTTCTGACTCAAAGCGCTGCCAGGCCAAAGTGCAGCCTCGGAGAGCTGCCTGTGTGGCTGCAGACTCAAAGTCTAGTTGACTTCTAATGAATCTGTTGCCAGGCAGCTTGTTGAAAATTCTGCATTGTAAGGTTTTTTTTTTTGGCGGGGGGGCTCCAGGGAGTTCAAGCGTTAAGACTGATAGCTCTGTCTTCTAGTTTAGGACCACCCTTCATCACTTACCAGCCGTCTGAAGGCAAATACTTGGCTCCCCTCTTAAAGCAAACAACTTGGGATGTAGCAGCGTCCTTGCTGCTGCGCTCAGTCATCTTTATGCGGTCTCGTTTTTCATTCGCATGGTTTCCTCCGAGTGCCACTAGAGGTCACAGCATGGGCCTCAGAGTCTTTGTTTTGCCCCATAATGGCTCTATTCTCCCACAGCGGCAATGACTCCCAAGGCTGCTACACATAAGACACCATTGTGACGAAAAGGGAGCATGAGGCAGAGGCATGGGAGTAAAACATGGGTGTATATGTGTGTGAAGCTGAGGCAGATTACTGTTAAAATCCTGCTGAAATATGAGCTGATCTCTAGTTTAAGAGTGAATTAAGTCATTATCTTAGCAGTTAAGATATGAGATCCAACAGTAACCAGATATGTGAGAGAAAGGAAGAGGCCTGGGTTGTTATTTCGTGTTAGCGCCGCCGCCGTTTAACTCCTGCTGTTTAACTAAACCTAATTAGAAGACGACAAAGTGTTCATTCAGAGTCGGGCCTGTGAGTGTAAATGTGGAATATTGTTAATGTGGAATAACAGGAATTACTATAAAAGTAATGATATTTAATAACGGCCCACAAATCTTCGTGGTAAACATTATTCAGGTTGGTGTTGCTGTAGTTGTTTAGAGCCAGTTACCTACCCAGGACTTTAGTCTTCTACTAATTTAAAGGAGTAACGATGCCTGGAATACGAAGAAGCCATCAAACTTGTAAAAACTGTTAAAAAAAAAGAAGACAAAATTGAAGCAGCTGTTTCATATCAACACTGACCAGGTGTCATAATAACACCAGCTAATGCAAAGAGTCTTTGACACAAACCAGCTGGGTTTAACATTGAGTTGAGTGTACACTAAAAGTCAGCTCTATTCATAAATAAAGTGCATCAGCCAACTTTCTTCATTCAAATTCATTTGACACCTAAAGAGAGTCACGCATATACAAAACTTTCCCCTTCTCTCACATGACTGCACCTTTGGTAACACGAGGAGGGAGACCGTAGTACTTCCCCAGCCGGAGGTAAACAAAAGCCTCTAACAGTAAGGGATTTTTTCCCCTTCTAAACCTCTTTCACAACACACTGACGCGAACATCTGCTCGAAATTTAGTGCTTACTCTGAATTTTAGGAGGTAGCATTAACCCATAATCATACAAAGAATGCAAAAATGTCGAAGAAAGACACTACCACCCTTTCTGCCCACCAGCTGTCATATTTGCACTGATCCACCAATGCTGCCCGGACCTCTGTGCATAGCTGCGTCCCAGAGCTGAGTATGGGCCTTCATTGTAAGCTGGCGAGGGCTGATGTGAAGATTATAGTCATGATTGTAAACAGAGATCTGGCCCGCAGCAGTCATTCTTGTTAGAAAAGTTTTTTTTCTCCTTTTTATTATTTGTCCTGCTGTAGTCAACAGAGAGCACAGCTTGGTTTCATTACTTTTTTTTAAAAAACAAACATTTTTTTTGCAATCTTTCTATTTGCACAACAGCTTATTCCTTTTGGTTTACTGTTCCAATGAAGAAACTGACAAATAGGAGTCATTATAGTCTGAGAATGAGGATTTTTATTATGAGAAAAGTAAGATATGCATATCTTTAAGTCATTAATCAGTTTTGAAATGCAGGGAAAGTCCAGCAGACTTGCACTGATCATGTATTTTTTCTTCTGTGACCCACAATTGGGACTTTGCAGTTTCAGTGACAGAAAGAAGAGGGGCAGAGAGGGAAAAAAGGCAGAAGAACTGTGAGAGACTGCAAAAGAAAAGAGAAATTTCCAGTGGCCAGTTCATTTTTTCCATGTAAAGTCATTCTTAGGCAGGACATCCAAATTAGTCATTCTTCTGTCTGAGGAACAGATAGAAGAAGTGTGTAGAGTTAAAGAGAAAACAGCTGCAAGGTGGGGGAACTTCGATGTGAAACACGGTGAGGTAAAGATGGACAGAAAGAGAGGAGCTGGTTATTAAGGAGAAAAGGCAGCACCGAATGTTCCTGAGTGTCTCAAGTAGAAACGTGAGTTAGTTGTAATCGGATCTCAGCTGCGGTGAGCTCATACAGGAGTCCTGCCAGCAGCCTCAGAAAGAGCAGTCCACCCATAAGTCTTTAGCCCCACTGCAGCCCTCTGTGGCGATCTGCAGGCCTGCCAGCTTAAATAGCATATATAATCTTTTAAGAGTGCTTGTTGGTGCCCTTCCTCTGAAAAGAGATTATAACAGAGTAGAAGAGAAGGTGGTGGGGAAATATTAACAGTCGTCTGCAGTTACAAAAGTGGACTTCGGGCCAATTTAGCCCATAGATAAATCTGTGCCTTTGTTTTCCACGAAACGATTGGTGATTTATTTTTTTTAAGGAAAGGGTGAATTACTCAGGGGAGAGAAAATTAAAAACACAATCTGTTAGTGTTAAAAAATTGGGTGTAGAAGAGTGGTTTTCATGAGACGGTAAAACGTGGTGAAGAAACATAATTCCTTTACCATGAAACCAGAGTTTGTTGACATATAAAAATTCCTTTTCAGGAAGATCTGAGCTTGCATATGAGCGGAGCGAGTGAATGAGATGTTTGACTGCAACATTTAGGGTTTTATTGAGTTGCAGTGAGAGTTGCACATACAGAGCAACATACAGATTTAACACCCTACTTTTGAATTACTTTATTTTCAGTGTTAATCAGCATTAAAAACGCTTCACTGACTAGGATACGGTCACCCTTTCTTAGGTTTCCTTGTTTTATCGGCACTTTTCTCTTCTCTTGCAGTCACACCTGCTCTGATGGACTTCAGATAACGCCCACAGTGGTCCCCGCCTTCCTTATCCTGACTTTCAGCCTGTCCCAGAGCCTCAAAGTTCAACACGATGACGGATCCCACTGGACTGAGCTCTGAGGGGGCAGGGTCAGCCATGGCAGATGCCTGTAGTTTGGAGATAGAGAGGAAGTATGATGTCATCCCTACTGTCATCTGCTCCATGTGTTGCCTGTTTGGAATCATCTACTGCTTCTTTGGTGAGGATCTCTGCTGGCTTACAGAATTTGAAACTTGGGGCAACATGAGACTGCAGGCGCACGTGCAGTCTGCTGTTTTTATCTTCTGGTCATATATTGGCCTAACTTCATTTTTAGTTTCCTTCCAGTTCTTCATTCTCTAATTTCCTCACTACACGTCTCTCCTGTGTGCCCTCCTCCGCCAGGTTACCGGTGTTTCAAAGCTGTCATGTTCCTGTCTGGCCTGATGTTTGGCTCGGTCATCATTTTCTTGCTGTGCCACAAGGAGCACGTGCTGGACACGCAGCTGAGCGTCGAGGCCAGCGCGGGCATCGGCCTCGGTATAGGCCTCCTGTGCGGCCTCGTCACTATGCTCGTGCGAAGCGTCGGCCTCTTCATGACGGGCCTGCTGCTCGGCTTCCTCCTGGCTCTCGCCGCCCTGCTGGTCACTCAGCAGTTCTACACACCTACCACACTGTGGGTGCCGCTGGGCGCTCTTCTGGGATCGGGCATGCTGTTTGCCGTGCTGACACTGCAGTGGCAGAAGATGTTCACCATGCTGTCCACCGCTGTGTTTGGGGCGGCCATCATGACAGTGTGTGCCGATTACTTTGTGGAGATGCTGGTTTTGGGAATGTACGTGTATGAATGCCTGCGCCTCACACCCGGACAGGCGCTCTGCTGGTACAGCTGGGTCATTCTGGGCATCTGGCCTGCTCTCAGCCTCATAGGAGTGCTGGTCCAGTGGAAACTGACGGACAACAGCTTCTCACACACAGAGGGTAAGCGTGGCGCTTTCATTCCTCCGATGAATCAAATCAAGCCAAGGCTTAAACTTAGCATCAAAGTATTCTCTCCGTATGAAAGCAAAGTTTGGCGATCACATCACATCTTCTGACCTTTTTGTGTGAAATCATTTAAATCTGAACTGCTGGAATTTTTCAAGCTTGGGTTTCCCGCATGAAGTGAAAATAGCAAACTTTTACTTTCACAAAATTAACATTTTTTTTCTCATATTACTTTCATAAATATAGACTCACATTTTTCAAGCACGATTCACAATTGATAAAAGTTGCTCTCGAACTTTCCCTTCACCTCATAGTTGTCATCAGTCGGAGACAGAAGAGAGTCCAGCTGATGCGGATCCGAGAGAAAGACGCCAAGAAGCGACAGCAGGCAGGTGGGCAGGAAGGCACTTACCGCCGTAAACCCACCCCAGTGAAACGTTACGCTGGGGATCTACTGGCACCGGTCAGTGTGACAAACATGCCGCGTGCGGTAGCAATTAGACGTTAGACGCTGGACTTTTTTCTAGCTCTTTGTTCGCTTCGCTAATCTCTCTGTTCTTCTTCTTCTTCTTCTCCTCAGAGCTACCTGCAAAGTCTGCGGGACAGACAGATGGGCACCGGCACTTCCCTTAGCAGCGTGGGAACCGCCAACCACACCACGATCGACTTGGACTACGACACTGGCTCCACGGTGCCCCTCACAGCCACAACGCCAGTCGTCAGGGTCTGAGCAGCACAAACATAAGAAGGGACTACTTAATGCACTCTGGTTCTCCAACTGTGTCTTCCTAATGTAGAGTAGAAGTTAATAACTGCTCTTCTATCCATGGGGTGTTTGTCGCCCTTGAACTGATTTTCTCCTCAGTGGGTCGCAGGTGTTCAGCAAAACACAGCGCTGCTGGAGAATGTAAGAGGATGAGGCTAAAACCACTGCAACTTCTGTGTTTCACAGAGAAACACAAGAAAAACCCCAGACACGAACAAAAATAAAGGTCGACCATTTCCACTCTTCACTGAGCACATAACAGCCCAATGAGCCTCGAAGACAGATGTGTTTCTGTTCTGATAGTGAACATCACAAAGCAATGCTTGACATTACATGTACTGTACTTCAGAAGTTAGTCATCGCAATCAAGTGTCGTGTTATTACCCGTTTTACCCTTTTCCCGTCCGGACGTAGGATTTTTTTTGGGGGGGGGGGAGGTCCTGTCATCACAGTAAATTTTATTTTGTGTATTTCTTCAGATGGAGTATGATGAAAAAGTGAAGTATAGGACCTGGCTGTGTGGAGTAAGACAAAGTGAAGTGAAAACTAAATGATGTGAGAGAGGAAAAAACCTTTTGCTGGAACCTTTAGCGGGATCTTCTAGCAGAACTCTAACAAATTCTGTGATCTTTCTGTTTTTGCAATGTAGCTCCCATCAGAATAAAATGGGCGGTGATTTAGAGTCCACTTTTTATAATTTAATTTATATAAAGTTCAAGTACCTTAGTAGCGCTAAGTAAAAAAAGAAGAAAAAACTAAACAAAAACAAAGCATGTTTGTTGTTGATCTGTAGATTTTTAAATAATTATCCAGACGTTGTTGGGATCTTTTTTTGCAGTGACTACACACGTGTTGCCCGAATCTGTAAATACCTGTTGATAGAAGTGTCAAAGATTAATAAATGTGTTTAATAATAAGCAGTTTTTAGTCGTCTCTTGAGTCGGGGGGGGGAGTTATTGAGACTGTTTGTCTCTCCGGGCTCTTAGCAACACTGCCGGCATTACTCACCAGATTTCTCATAGGCAATAAAGAGGTCATGGGGAGGATTTCCTACTCTGCAATTGGTTGGAGTTGCCATGGCGCTCGCACAATTTTCTGATTTTTTTTTTTCTTTGCAGACACAATGTGAGACAGACCGCCCTTTCATCACAGTAAATATTTTTTTTTCTGTCCTTTCAATGTGGCTGTGTGAGCAACTGTTGTGAAGATGCTGTGAGCAATCCGAGACGCAGTTTTATTGTTGATGTTATGTCTTGTTTATTCGTAGAAAATGATACATTTTCACTTTAAACGAGGGAACGAGTGAGTGTCTCGTGCTTTTCTCGCAGACCAGTGTTACTCATTGAACGCAATGAAGTCCATAAACACAACTGACCAGAAAGTGCACGTTCCCGTCATCGTATTACGTCTTACTGAGTGTATAGTGACAGCTAATCCAACACACATGTTAAATGGAAAAAACAAAAAACAAAACAGCTTTGATTCTTCTCAAGGATCATATAATACAAAAGTTTGCACAATCCTGCATTCAGAGACACACAAACACAAGCCTGCTCTCGAGGGTACAGGTTCCCACACTAGCTTTTCCATTAATGTGGTCAGTGATTACTTACGATGAATTGCTGCTCTTGAGGTTAGGGTGGCTTGTAAATGCCCTGTGCTTCACACCTTTTGGTACCTGCTGCCCCCTGATGGTGGAGCACTAGCATCGCATCCAGCGTTTCTTCTTGCTCAGTGGATAGCCTCTCTCTGCTTTCAGCTGCTCATTCACTCGCCAGTAGTCGTCTCCCTTGAATATGTATATTTTGCCATTGGTCCAGGTGAAAGCTGCATGAGGAGCGGGTGGCACTCCAGTGAAGAGCATGCTGAGCGGCTTGGGGTAGAAAGTTAGGTCGTTGTATTTCAGCTCATCCCACTGCCAGTGCTCTGATCCCTACACAGGGTGACGGAATAAAAAAACAAATGAGGCAATGAGGAATAGAAGGTGTGGATGTAGATGCATGTTTAAGTGCTTCTCTTCATAGCTACCTTAATGAAGACAAGCTTTTTGTTCTTCTTCAGATACAGGGCTGCATCGATATTAGGGGGAATCCTTTTCAGCTCTTTGGGGTAGCCGTAGTCCAGAACAAAACTGGTATACCTCCACACTTTATTGCCTGTGACCAGAAAGAGCACAAACCTTTTACGCTGACTATTCCGACCCAGAGAGCAGTGGGTAACTGAAGTGTAGCTTGACTGGACTAAAATTACCTTTTAAGAAATATGTCTTGTTGGTTCGCTGAGAGTACACAGCAGCATTTAGGTTTCCTGGGAGGCCTCTCCACAGTCTGTCAATTCTTATAGGTGGGTTGTGTCCCAGGTCAGAGATAGTCCACACATAATCACCACTAAAAGCAAAGGTTTTCTCCCAGGGACCTGATTGAACAAATAATAACAGCCATTCATGAGAAACGATCTGAATAACAAGATCTATTAACCCTTTTAACTCATGGTAACTTTGTAATCTTGGTATATTGAAGTTTCATTCTTTAAACTAATTTCGATGGCCTAATGTAAAGTTAGCTGGTCTAGCAAACACTGATCGATAACTTACCTAATATAATCGCATCCAGTGTTGCTGTGCAGGGATCAGGGATGTTCTCAGTCCCCTGGCTGCTCACTGTGGGAACCAGACTGTCTGGAGTTGTGGGACTGGCTAACGTGCTTATGATGCGTTTGCCTTAAACAGATAAGTTAAACATTTTAGGACGATTGCATGTTTTCTTATATGCAATCAGAGCCCAGAATCATCACCCTTAAACTGAAACATGTTGTATATGTGCAACATCGACAGCCCAGGTCCAGTAACAGCACCAATCATGTTGCAGGACCCCCTCGACACACTCACCGTATAGTGCCTGGATGCCATTCACGTCATCTGAGTGCAGCCTGAAGTTGACACGGTAACCAGAGTAGACCGGTGCCATCAGAGCGCTTCTGAACTGAGAGTGACCCAGGCCGAGAGCATGGCCAATTTCATGAGCAGCTACAATACGCAGATTAGTGCCATAATATGTTCCCTCGGTCCAGAACTCATCCTCATCAAAGTGGACAATACCCGATTCTGGTGACTCAGCATGGGCCAGTACATGACCTGCACCCAGAGCAAATAAACAGTCACAGTCCCAGCAACCCAGTCACAGACGACCTAGTGACACATGCATTTATAAACAAGACTTACCACGGCCATCAAATGGGACAGAGCAGAATCCATCTTTCTTATGGAAGGAGATCTTTATGTCGGCTCTGCCATAATCGACCTCTCTGAAGGTCAAAGCCGCCACATCGCTCCAGTACTTGAAGGCAGAACGGACGGCGTTCCTGACGTCTGACTTGATCATGTCAGGAGTGTAGTTGTAGATGCGATAGGTTAAGCTCCTTTTCCTCCAGCGGCCTAAAAGAGAAGAACATTTTGTTTCTAAGTCATCATAATGAAACCGAAATCAAGACTTTATGTACTTTATGCGTGGAGAGTTGGGTGGTTGAAAATGCATTTTGTCAGCTCCTCAAGTAGAGTGGATGAATTTGACACTGCATGGAAAAGCCTGTTTCAGGAGTGTGTTTAAACTAACGTCATAGCTGTTGCCTTTAAAGATCCAGCTTTTTAATGCCAATCTGCAGCTGTAACAAGTTAACAAACGAGTACTAAATCATACTATTCCCGGTCATGACAGCTTGTCTTGTGTAATATACATATATTCTTAACTGTAAAGCCTCAGCATACTAGAAACACTGATGTCTTGCTGCTCGTGGTTTTATGAAACTAAAAAAACTAAACAAACCAAAATAATCAGGAAATTGTGACACTGGCTGGGTATTTTGTATAACAGTTGCAAGTAAATGTTAAAACCACCGATGTACACAATTTGCTTCTCACCCATCACTCTGTACTTGTGAAATTTCTTGTTGAAAGGATCCTCCAAACCACAGCGGGGCTGGTTCATCACTTCCAGTGTGGCTTCATCTAACTCTCCAGTAGGTGGCAGATCATTCACTCTCTGGAAGACACTGATGAATACAAGGAAATCAAATATCTGTAAAGTAATGGAAAAAAAAAACACTCCACCCCACATCCTGTGTAGGGAGTATCGCTCTAACAGATCCTGATCTAACAGCAGATGTTACTGGAAGTGTGTTCTCTGTAGAAATAGCAATAATCTACTTTACCTGAGGCCTTCAATGACCTCCTCTAGGTAACGAGGGTCCAATGTATCGATGGGCTCATTCAGGTAGCCGTACTGCCTCAAATAAGCCTGTGCATGTGTGAGAAAACAACAAAGCTGTCATGTGCGACCACGATAAATCAACTAATTTGGCAGGAAAATAAAGAGACATCTATAAACACATCATAAGGACTCTCTGATTAGATAAAGTAAAAAGGTCTGCTTTTAGAGAAGTTTTCAAACAAGTCACAAAACGACCTGCCATCTTACCGTTGCTTCACTGAACTCCGTCCATGGTACCACTGCGCAAAATACTCCTTTGAGGCTGAACACCGGCAGCAGCAGCACCAGCAGCAGTCCTTTGTGCTCCATAATCATCCTCAGATTCAGATTTCACAGCCGGTGCTCCGGAGACGTGCTCAGCGGAGTCCCACAGCAGACTCTTTGTTCTCTTGGCGCTCCAGCGGTTTTTAACTCGTCCGGCGCATGAGTCAGCCCCGCGGCTGTGATGATCCACCTCTGAAGAATGAGGATTACAAGAGCAGCCAGTTGACCTACTATCAACATGTCTGCTGTTAAATTGTACAGCTGTCAGGGAAGACCGAAAGCCCCCCCCCCCCCGCCTGCATGCTCTACACATAAGATGTAGTAAATGTTACAGTAGTGTGGGTTTAGTTTGGTCTTTTTATGAGCTGGTGGAGAGAGGGCCTTCTTCCTGAACATAGCAACACTGATATATCACTATCCAGGATTACAGCAGAGTTGTTCATTCCTTAACACATGACTGGAGTTCAGGTATGGGCCTAAACCACAGGATTTACCCTGCCCTCTGTTTTCACATTCCTGTCACCCCCACACCTGTATTACCTGGAACAGATATCTTTAATACACAAACAGATAAAAGCTTTTGTATTTCCATTTGTGGAACAGTATTCTTAGTGGACCTGCATTTTATTTTATTTTTTTTCCCATTTTTTAAAAATGTTGTTTTGTGATTCTCCTTATTGTCTTTAATTTCATAAATAAGAAAAAATATACTGTCACAGCTGCGGCGGCAGTCGTGTGGGGTTGAAGGGAAAAGGACCCAATCGCGGGTGCTGACGATGCAATGAGTGAGCTTTATTTACATGAGGTGATAATACAGACAGAGCAGAGATGGGACAGACGGGAACTAAGAACAAACCTAAACTGGGACAATCTAACAAACAAATCTGAATCCGTAACTGACAGGAAAACATACAGGGTGGAACACGGGATGACACGTGAAGGTAACACAGGAAGAAACACGGAGGAAACACAGACGGACCAGTAACAAGCAGAAGAAAACACAGGGCTTGTATACACACAGGAGCAATCAGGGAATGGGAGACAGGAAGGAAACAAAGCCGGGAGAAATCAGAACTGACAAGACAAGGGGAAGCAAAACCAGACACACTACACACAGGACAGGGACCATCAAAGTAAAACAGCAAATACAACAGGTATGAACAAACACGAGCTTAACACAAGACATCAGACATGGCAACAGGGAGGGAACACAGAGACACAGAACAAAAGGAGCTCAAAAATACAAAACAAATATCAAACGTCAGAACAAGAAAATCCTAACAAGAATTAACCTGAAACATAAGATAATAATCAAAACCACTGAGTCCACAGACTCAGCACCATGACATTTACAATAGAAGCCGGTGTTGTGCCAAAAAGTGATTGTTTGCCAAAAACTGATTTCCGGTATTTGCCAAAAAGCGATTGCTCATATTTAAAGTGCTATAAGTAACTTGTTGGGCTATAATATGTTAAACATATGTCAAATGCATCCCTTATGGATGACATAAAGTCATCTTGAGCCACAAACAACATTCGTGTAACAAGATAGAAGCCGCGATCAGTTTTTGGCAGTGACTTTTATATAACCTTTATTTATGCAGTAAAAAAAATCTCATTAACATTAAAAATGGATTTTGTAAGAGTAAGTTGCCCAACAGGACAGCAGAAACGGCAGCAAATATTACAATAGTTCTGTAAAAATATTTTAAGTGGGGATAAAGGACCGGATTGGTTATAATGTAAGTACAAGTTGTAAAGATACTTAAAAAAAAAGATAGTTTTTTAATTCTTTATGTAACCCCTTTGTATCCCCTGTTCACCGAAGTCTATTTACGAACATACGTAAAGATATTACACATAAAAAATACACAGAAACACTGGAAATCAGTTTTTGGCAGACAATCACTTTTTGGCACAAAAAGTGATGGCCAGTCCAGCAAGTCATACTTTTTGACGAGCTTAGCTCATTTTGGAGATTTCCTGATTTCGTTCAACCCTGCTTTCGCATCTAATGAAAAAATTGCAGATGATGGAAGGCTGAGATTGTATTTTGATGTGTATTCTTGAAAATGTCTGTGATATGATTGGAATAGAGCGCTGTGTACTGAAGTGGTATAAATGTACAGGAGCATTAAAGGCAGTAAAACAGCTGGTCTCAAGATGTGAGTGCATGGTTGGCATCGTATAGCCTCACAGGTACCACACAGGCAGTCTGTTACACCAGCAGAGGAGTCTGAATCCACATTTTTTATTAGGTTATAGTAATAACTTTTATAACGTGATGTGTCTTTGCTCATAATTATTCAGTTCTAGCACTGATTTACATACTAGTACTAAGCTAAGAAGAATGACTTATGTCTCAGCTGTCCAGGTTCATGGTAGGCGCGAGAGCCTGAAAAGTTGACAGGACTTCTTCAGTTCTTAAAATAAAAAAAATTACAGTAGTGGACAACACGAAAATCCCACGGTGCTTAAGACCCAGCAACACCCTCAGACAGAAACTGGTTCATTCCAAGGGAAAAAACTCCCAAACACAAACAACATAACGTACGCTGTGCAGTGCAGCAAGAGACCAAACAGCCACTCCACAAATACACAGCACAGCATAGAAGAGCCACCTCGTGCCTCAGCTGTAGATCTGGACCTAAAGGGCAAAGGTCACTCTTTCTCATCATATCAATGACCGAGAAGACAGATGGTGTGAAACAGGAGTGAAAGAGGTCATCAATGTCCAATGTGAACAACCATCATTGAACAGAGGCGGTGACTTACACCAGCTATTAGCCACCTAAAATGCAGTCTTGAGATCTCTTCCCAGGCTCTTCAATGAACACTCACACTGTTCCTTAGGTGACATGGCAGGGTGGGGCAAGGTCTCACAGGGGGTTTCACCCTTAACCCCTGGTGATGGTAATGACCCACGCCTTTTTTCCCCACAACTTGGCTCATATGAGGACCCTCAGGATTACTTCCAAAACCCCACTAGGGTTTAAATACTTTGTTCTCTCCCCACTATTTGTTTTTAGAAATGAAGAAGCATCTTCAATGAGAGGTGAAACATCTTTTCTTAATATTTGTCTTTTTATAAAAATTTACAAAAAAACAAACAAAACACAACTGTATTGCAGACTTCAGTTATGTTAATCTCGCATCATACTGGTAAAATATTACCATTTACCATCAATGTGACAGTTCTGTGTGTTTGCTGACCTTGCAGTAAACCTCAGGCGTCAGCTTTGTGCTTCCTGCCATTTGCATTTGTCATTGTTGTGAAAGTTAGTTATGTAATTAAAAGGGAAAAAGGAACAAAAGGAGGGAAGAGTAAGACTAGTATGTACAAAGTGTTCTTTTTTGGGATCGGGCTGCTTTTGAAATCATAAGACAACACACACACGTAAGTATCTAAAGCAAACAGAGCAGAGCTACGTGACTGACAGGAGGAGTTTTGTGTACCAGCTGGACTGAAAGTTGCTGAAATCCATCTGTAACAACAGCCATCTGTCATCATGGTGTAATTATTCCTTGTACATTAATTTGACGGGGGGGGGGGGGAAATAGTGTGAAAGGCCAAAATCAGGAAAAGCTGAATAACCAGACGTAGGCCAGTGTAAAGTCCAAGTCTTTATTCATTGTAAGCAGTTAAATACATTTCATGATTCTCACACTTTCAAATATAATCCACCTGTTAATTAGACTTAAGAGCAGTGCATCGGCATATTTTCATAATGTTGTAAAAAAATAAAACCTGCAGTTTCTCCAGTTCTTCAAACAAATGCTAAAATGACTAACCGTTACATTTTACCAGTCCTACATATTATTCCCCCCGTCCTCTGAGTGTAAGGAGTCAGCACTCACTTCTCAACAGTATTTTTTCTGGCCTCTCCTTACCACACAGGGACCTCTGCTGCGCTGTAGCGTTGTCCTGTACACAGCTGGACTTCATCTGGAACTTCACACTATAGTTTTGTATTTCATATCTCCTCTGAAAGAGCAGAGGACAGGTCCACAGCATGATTAGTCAGAGGCCACAGTCCACCACTGATGCGCTAACCTAAGCCAAACATCGATTACTTCAACGAGATGGTTACTACAGGTAGATTTTCTTTGAACAGCTCAAAGTTCATTTTCAGTGTTATAAATATGGATTGTAAAAAATAAATGCTTCATCATTATAAACCACAGAGCTTCAGAGTCAAACTGAACCACAGTTTTGCTTAAGAATAAAAGACAGTGACTAATAAATGGAGATAACCAGACATAATTTAATTTGGCTGTTCACAGCCTTGAGCTTCATCCCATGTGTGTACCGCTGCAAATCTCCCAGGCAACAAAATGAATAAATTTTTAAGGCCGTTTGTCAAAAATATTTCAAAATGTAGTGCTACTCCTGGTTGATCCTACATTTGCTGAGTCCATGACACAAATGTAATTAAAAAAGACAAAAAGAGCCCACTCTGAGATGACTCTGTTTAAGCTCTAAGTCTTTTGATTTCTGTACTTCAAATGCTGAGCCTATTCTTCGTCGTCATCCTCGCTGATCTTCACCTTCACTCTGTGCCAGGCGTTACTCAGCAAGCCCCTCACATTCCAGATCGGACCGAATGTGTCCGGCTGCGTGTTGTAACTGTTGTCCACTGCCTTGCAAATGAGCTCCAGCTCTTGGGCCTCTGGAGGAAGAGGAACCGTTATCTCCCACAGCTTCCATGCCCAAGCTCGTCCTAGTGGGGGAGAAGTTTGATCTTCTTCCTTGTCGCTGCTCTTCAACTTGGCCTCCTTCCACGTCTTCCCTCCGTCCACAGAAACATCGACGCGTATCACCTCTCTGCCCCCGCCGCTCCAAGCGTAGCCCTTCACAGTCAGCATTTCTTCGCTGCGATCGATCACGGAGCCTTCTGCAGGTGTGGTAATGGCAGATTGAACAGGCAGCTCTTGGATGGCTGGAGCAGATTTGTAGTCAACTGTGTCCCAGTCTATTCCAGGGGCGAAACCTTTGTAATCTTTCTGCTGCCAGTGGCTGTTGCTCTCCTGTGCACTGACTACTATTTTACCCAGCCACTTCACGTTGCGTGTGCCCACTACACCTGGTACAACCACACGAATGGGGAAGCCATGGTCGGCCGGAATATCCTTGCCGTTCATTTCATAGGCCAGCAGCACGTCACCCTCCTCGCTAACTGCCTTATTTATAGGGATTGAAGCACCGTATGCACTCCCTGTTATTTCTTTATCCAGTCCTTCAAACTGAACGTGGCGAGCCCACTGGGCTACATCTGGCCCGTAACCTGCAGCCAGCAGGACATCCCTGAGCTTGGCACCGCTCCATGTCGCATTACCAATGGCACCAAAGCCCCAGTTCAGTCCCTTAACCTGTCGGGTCTTATTCATCTCACTACGGCGGTTTCCTGCACACTGCAGGGTAGCTGTGATGGTGTGTTTGGGGAATCGAGTCTTCAACTCTTCTAAAGACAGTGTGAGCACTCCTCTGGGTAGCCCCTCCACATGTAGGCGATATAAATCGGGGTCCACCTGAGGAACCGGGAGGTGGTTTCTTTTGAAGAAGAAAGCAGTGGGCGTAATGTAGCTGTCAGCGAGGATTTCAGGCGGAGGTTCAGCGTTGAAGGGCTTGAGGCTGTTGGTGCGCAGGGCAGGGTGACGCTCAGGGTCAGAAGAGTAGGGGTCTGATGATTTAAAAGTAGATTGCTTCTTCAGGTCTTCTGCTTTCAGCTCACCAATCTTGCATCAACCACAAACACAAAGATTTTATTAGACCAAAACTGCAACTGAACTTCTCTTCAGCTCAAGAAGCTAATAAAAACATCAGCCACACATTTTTTCCTCAGTGACCACTTGAGGGAGTGCCAGCATTCAGCTTACAGCCATGAGGTTTTCCTCAGTATATAGTGTGCAGCAGACCTTTTCATATGTGTCTGCACTGAACAGAAGGGCAAGATGAACAGCATACATTTAAAAAGTTAATTTAAGGATAAATTCAAGCGATGTGCTGCGAAAGCTCATCAACCTCTGTTGCAATTTTTCAAAAACATCTAATGAACAGCATCTACTGTTTTATTATTATGTCAGCTTTTCTTTTGAGTGAGAACCTTATTAAAAGAAAGAGCTCTGCAAGCTTAGCAGTGGGTATGTCTGTGTTGATGTCAAATGAAAGGCTCACACATGTGTTGAGGTCTCCAGTTTGGTTTAAGTGCAAATTTCCACACAGCTATACTGTGTAATATCCCGTTTGACACAACTATTTCCACCCATAAGAAAGTGTTTTTCCCGGTAAATTTCTATGAATAGCAGTGTTGCTAAAGCTTTTACACCCACGCTCCCCTTTAGCTAACTTACTACAGGGGCGATTATGTTAAACTCTAACCAAGCTGAGTGGTTACACCTGATCTTTTAATACTGAATAACAAACCCCAGTGCAGAACATTTTAACTCCTTAGTATGTAACAGCGCTTTAGTTAAATCAACAGAAACAAGCGGGTTTCTCACCTTATACTCAGAGAGGATTTCCAGCACATGCTCCTGATTGTGTACCGCATAAAGCGACCAGAAGGGCTCAATGGCACCACCTGCTGCCATCATGATTTTCTCCCCACCAGGGTGTATGGAAACAAACTCTGTAATGTCATAGACGCCGCCTTGGTAGGTGACCCAAACGCCATCTTTCAGGGAGCGATGCCTTGTAACTTCCTCCTGGCTGATGATAGGAAGCGGGGAGCTCTTCTCTATAGCCTGCACAGAAAGAGGCATCAGGCATCAGTTTCTATCAAAATAGCAATAAACTAATGGTCATGCACAGACCTATATACTCCCTACTTATATTAAAAACACCAAAAAGTTCCCTGGGATGTCAAAAGAAGAAAATATATGAGCTTTCAACTTTTCAAATTTGAAGCGCTACTGCTGCTTACTACCTTAACATAAAACCGTGTGGCCTTTTTTATTTGACTAGATAAACAACCAGTAAGCAGCTCCTTGAGAGTTAGCACTGACTGCTAGCATACGAGCCTCATTAGGTACAGCCTAATTCCTGGAAAGACATCAGTTGACATTTAACTGTTAAAGTTAGAACTTGGCAGTTTGAGAAAATTATGCTGTCGGTGCTGTTAATCTGGTTGTACTGCTGAGAAAGGGTTTCTGTAACGACCGTGGACTTTGCAGGGCAGTGCTCTGTTTTTGCTTGACAAGCTCTGAAGGTACAAAATCTGCTGATAAAGATTTTTGCTGAGACGGTGCAATTTTAAATTTTCATTTGCTGCTGTGGTTAAAAACATATGTAGTTAGCATAATTTAGCAAATTATGGCAAAAAAAAGTGCATTAAACTTTAAAAAGAAAGTAAAAATGGACAGATATTGTCTGTTTGTAACCTTGTGACGGTGTAGACCATATGCTAGTACAGCCCCTGTGCCAGCCAGCAGTCCTGCCAGGACGTGTCTCCAGCTGGCACTGAAGCCATATTGGTGAAACCTCTGGTCATTGCTGCTGCTGCAGAGACGAACTGCACACGATGCAACTACAGGTGCCACCTGATTTCTGAGAACATTTTAAAAATGGAAATATAACTTTGACATATATATATACACACACACACACACACAGCAAAACCTACTAGTAAAATTCTAATGAGAATGAAAGTGAATGTTTGGTATGACCACCTTCATTCTTAAACACAGTCTGACTCTCTTAGAGAGCTTTCTTGTCATTTCATTAACTAGTCTTCAGAAGGCTAGGCTTCTTGAAGGACATTTAAAGCGCTTCTTTGGAAGATGGCTGCTCTTTGTTCGGTTCTCTGTCATAATGATCCCACACTGGGTCAGTAAAGTTGAGGTCTGAGCTCCGGGATGGCCAATCCATGACTGATGCATGCTTTTACTGCACTGGCAATGTGTTTGGGTTAAGCTGAAAAATGTTCTTGTCAATCAGACACTTTCCAGGTTTAAGGCACTTCTGCATTTTCTTTACTTTTTATTCACTGGAAGCTACAGCCATCATTTGTTTACAGATTAAGCCTGTGACAGAAAGAAGAAGTGCACAATGCAAGACAAAAAACCCCAAAACTAAGACATCCTGTAGTTGTCAGTTTTGAATGTTCACCAGGAAAAACCTGGAATATCTGTTGCTAATTGCTACTGTAGCACCAAAATAAAGTGCAAGCTTTTAGATTTATTGTACACTAAAAACGTAACCTAAAAACTCGTAACACTAAATTAATTTGCAGGTACACAGTCTGTTAACCAGAAAAAGTTGTCTTAGTGGAGCTCAGCTACTGAGCTACATCACAAGTAAAAATGAAGTAAATTATATGAAATAAACATTAGAAATACGTTGTTATAATAATGTACCTGTCAATGCTGAGTGGGCCAATTGGATTCAGCCTGTGGCAGCGTCTGAGGAGCAGCATTGCATTGACGTTCTGACAAAGAAAGAGAAATTAAAAAAAAAAAAAAAAAAAAAAGAGCACATGAGCATCATCTGGTAGCTGATCATTATTTTTCCATCCACACTTGGTTAGCAGGTCTTAGGGGCAGATAAATGTACTTCTAAAAATGTCAGTAATGTGAAACATTTCAACAGAGTTCCCAATTTTTACTTGTATAATTCAATGTTGTTGCACTCCTCGAGAAACTCCAAACTGTGTGTACACTTACAGCCAATGGGTTTTGAGTAAATGACAAACAGAACTTTAAAATGTTTCCATTTCTAATCAACTGACCAACAAGCTGTTACTTCATCCTTCAAAAAAATAGCCAACCAGCTGAGGGGGAGTGAGCAGGGAGGAGGGGAACGAGGAGGCCAAGGGTTCAATTCACTCTTGTATGTTGTCCAGCAAACAATAAAAACTGAGGAATAGAAGATTGACTAACCCGAGAATCGAGAACAATACCATACTAAACTAGAACTACCAACCAAAAACGCATTTACAGACCACTGATAAACCAGAAGATATCACATGACGTAGCTGTGCTTTATCAGGTGATTACACATATCTTATCACAGCAGCCATAAACATTACTTTGACTTATCTGACAGCTTTTAAAGAAGCAGCACAGTTACAGTCACTGAGGAAATTCAGATTTTCAAAGACTTTCAAGAATGACGTCATTAACTCCTGAATCTAACCACTTTCTTTTTTTTTTAACAGAAAGCATTGTGCAACCACCGAGTCATGTGTTCACAAAGCTGAACAGAAGTAATGCCATGACCTCAGTCTGTCTCACTCAGAATGACAACTGAAAATTTCACTTTTTAGCAGAAACATCACCAAATCTAACCTTTCGGAGATGTTACAACTGAGCATATCACCATAAACACAACTGTATTGGGGTAAAATAACAACAGGGCTACAGAAAAACATCTGTGTGTGTCTAACCTGTGGAGTTAAGCTTACCTTATATTTTATCATATAAAGTATTGGGACCAAACTTGGTACAACACTCTGCACTGTTGATTTCAACTACAAACCTGATTTGGACAGACTGCATTTAAAAGATGACACAGCTTTCACAGTGGTTCTGGTTTTAAATGTGGATGTATACTAGCATATGATTCTTGGCAACATATTACTTTATGAATGGGTGTAAGACGAGCGACATGCAGCAGTATTGTTACAAGTATGCTAACATGTGACAAAAACACAATGATGCGGTTTTTGTTGGCACCCACAGTGATAAGAAAAAGATAAATAGATATAGAAAATAAATACATAAAACCTGTTCAAGCGGGGGTTGATTTACTCCAACTTGAAAAACAGATTTTTGTTCATCAAAAGGCTTGAAATAACAAGAAAATGCATAAAATCCTGTTAAATAAGGTATCACAGACTCTGTGTCTGAATGGTGATAGATGGTGAAATATCCATATGAATTTATGGGTAGAAGTTCATAGGCCACGATGCAGGGTCTCACACTATACGGCCTGATACGACCCGAGTACTCAAACTGTGCATTCATAACATGAAGCTTATCATACAAAATCTGTCTCTCGCTCTCCCTCTCTCTGTCTTTCACTCACTCACACAGGCACACACACACCACCGTCAACTTTGCTAAATTACTAATGAAAAACATTGACCAGGCAGCTGTGATTGAGCAGCAATGTCCATCCAACTCTTTTCATGGTTGTTGTAGTCGTGATAATTTTGTGAGGCCACATTGAAAAGCCTTGGATACGGAAGCGTAGCAATATAATATCACGTTATTACAATATACAGAATTATCACGTTCGTACAATATAAATATTATATAGGCTACATCGCAGCTCCAGTCACGCTTCCATCACCGTCTTTTCCCAGAGTAACAGCCAAACAGGAGGATCTATTGGCTAGCACTGCTTAGCCTTGCACGCATTCTTATTTTAAACTTAACCCATATGGAAAAGAAATAGTAAAAACTTATGCGATTACTCATGAAAGTGGCCACTTTCATGAGTAAATTATATAAGGCTTACATGATTTACTCATGAAAGTGGCCACTTTCTCATTACTTTCATACATTGTTTTAGTAAGTATCCAAAACATACAAGTTTCATTATATAATTTTTCAAGGGATCTTATATCCGTTTTCACTCTTATATGCTTTTCATACAAGTTTCACACAAGACAGATACAAACTTTATAAGATTTATATATATCTTTTCCATATGGGTTAATCTGGAATTCAATGCAAACTGTTTGTGCGGGATATGAATGACAAGATTTTGTTTTTCTACAAGAGTTAGTAAAAAAAACATCTCCAGTGTGATCGCATCTTCTTGCCAAACATCCACAGCTTTGCAGTGTATACAGCACTATAATGACCAGAGCTAATTCTTTTAAAAACCTTATATCTTTCCACAGGTCTCAACTTCATCAGACATCACCTAGACAGAGCTGGATGAGGCCAGCGCAAACAGCAGCCTAACCGACTAAGATGATGGATCCATGGGGTCAGGAAAGCCAGAAGCACGGGAACTGGAGAGGTACCTTTCATGTCCATTCACTGGAGGTGTGGCTCTATTGCATGGTGTTCCTCACATCGAGAAGCTGTTGATCAAAATCAATACAGCTCTTCCTGCATCTGGAGCTTGTAAGGACTTCTCAGTCATGCAGGACTTCTGTTCACTGCTAAACAGTGACAGCTTCACAGCAAGAACCTTGAGAGCAAACTGCTGCTGAAGCTTACCATCACCTCACTGAGTGAAGAAATGGCACATTTTTGCCAAATATGCAGAAATAGATGCACACCCATACAACTTATGGTAAACTGAGCTGCCTTGTATGTACATATGATGAAGATACCTCGTTCTAATGTTTTCTCTGAGGCTGCTGTGCCATTTGGAGCAAAAATGAATATAAAGTTTACAGCATATCTTGTCACTGGAAATTGTTTGCACTGTTTATATATTTATATTATTTACTGTAGGTATTTGTGAAAAAAAGCTTGTTTGAAAAATGTTGTGAAAATCTGAAATCTTGAAATTAGAATTGTTGTGCCTTATTTTGTTGATTTTTACATATATTCCTTTTGAAAATACTAAAATTTGTATATTTATTGTTTGTCTGATAGCATTTATTTATAAAAATCGGACATTTCAAACAGTTACTCGCTACTTGAGTAGTCTTTTCACCAAGTACTTTTTTACTCTTACTCGAGTAACTTTTTTGAAGACTACTTTTCACTTTTACTTGAGTAATAATATTTTAAAGTAATGCTACTCTTGCTTGAGTACAATTTTTGGATACTCGACCCACCTCTGAAATTCAACCACAATCAGTAACCACAACCACAGACACAACTTCCCCCAGCACAGCCTGCCAGGGCAGAGCTCAGTCGCAGCTCTGAATGGTGAAAGGACGAATGAATAAATGTATGTTACAGCCTTACCAACTGATCTAATCAGTCACCATCAGCATTTATATCATCCAGTAGATGGAATTTTAAAAAGAAAGGGATAGGATAAACGCCAATCACCCATGTTATGAGTGTTAACATTGCGTAATTTGTCCAGCCTTGGCTTGGATTTTACCATCTTTGGTAAAAATCTTTGGAAAGCAACAACAACAACTGATCCCAGCAAGGTCGGGCAGAGCATAAAGGAGTAAATAACAACACACAAATGTTATGTAAATATGTGCCTCGAAGGAAAAAAAAGAAATAAATAAATATTGGCCAATATATTGGAATACTGAATTTACAAATCAACAAAATCTGCAAAATCCCATATTTGGTCGGGTTCAACATTTTTTGTAAAGTGCTAAATCACCTTGTTTCTGTAGTATCTGCTAGTATCTGCATGGTGTTCCTCAAAGCTAACACTATATGGACAGGACATACTTACACTTCATATGTTACACTTCATAAAGTAAATTACATGTATTAGCAGACTTATATAAAATGTATGAAACTAAAATGAAAACAATATAAAATCCTGCATTTCAGAAAAGTAAACTAAAAGGACACTATGTACTTTCAAAACAACCAAGACAGAAATAAAATACAGAGGAATGTCCTTTTTAGTTTGGTCAAACCTGGCAAAACAACCAGGATGGACAACATCACCATAATAATAATACCAAAAAAGGAGTATGAGGGCACAGAAGCTCCAGGTCCCTGCTGGTTCACGCTGAGTACACATTAGCTAAACCGGTTAGAGGCTTCTGATGACAAGCGAGGGAAAAATCTATTAAAAATCTTCACTGACTATTTTATATTAACCACAGCGAACCAAGGCGGCAATAATCCTAACGAATTCAACACAAGCACAGTTTTAATTTTTTTTTTTTTTGGCAGCACTTCAATGTTTACGTAACAAACATGCCGGCGTTGCGCTTCATCACCATCCTCACGGCTAACCTAGCTAACATTTCAGTTAGCAAGCATGTTTCTTGTAGCCCTTCCTCACCCAACTTGTAAATAAGTCTTCATGAACAGAAGAAATCTCAGTTTTCTCCCGCTTTTTGGTCCAAACCGCAGCGCACTCACCTCTCCTGTGTTTCTGTGTGCAGTGTTTTGTGTTGCTCAAGATGCCCGAAGGACAGCTACCCTGCGGATCTCTGAACGTACCCACATACACACAGTGAACGAGGAACGTTCAAGAAAGCTACTACTTCATCCACGTAATGACAGCACAGGGCACGCTTCATCCGCCGAAATAATTAATAATAAAACTAAATTTTGAATATTCTCCTGTCTTAAAAAAAACAACAACAAATTCACTACTAATTGTCTAACAAATAAAACACCTTTTTATACCTTTAATTAACCATGTACACCGCATTATTTTTTGCTGCAAAATATAGAACATTTATTAGCGTATTATCATATAGTTATTAATGTGATATCAACATCTATGGCAGAATTTTACATAATAGGCATTATAAACAATTTGCTAAATTGACTGTGCCAGCAGTGACTTTAACACGCCCAGCTCTAGTTAAATGACCAGATAATCCTGAACGCACCTGATTGACAGGTTAAATACTAACTGGTATGCAGAATACAGCTTGTCCTCCACACCAAAAATTGAGATAGAGCAAGAGAACAGAAAACACAGACCACACCCTGAACAAATGCACAAATGTAGAAGCCACGAAAAGCCTTCATGCGCTGCTAAAACGAGCAAATATAATGAATGGGAACAGCCTCACTTTCACAGAGACAAGAAAGCTCTGAAGGAGCTGCTAATGTTCCAGACACAAGACTAACTGAATATATTGTTTCTTCAATCAGCACAGCAGTTTTCCGCTTTGCTCATGTAACCGAGGACAAGGGATGAGTAAACGGGGCAAAGAAATAAATTGATCATTTATTTATTACATGAGTTAGACATACAAATCCCCAGTCATTTCCAGACAGGACTTACAACACATCCTGCTGATCCCAGCTGCACATGAGACTTACCACACAAACTGTGCGAAAATAACAACACTGCAACCCGTCACACCCCGCTTAGCGACACTGCAATCGTGGCACACAC